CCCCCCCCCAGCCCTGCTTCCTCAGGTCCATACCCATGAGACACTGGCTCAGCCATGATTGGATTACCCGGTATATGGCCTGACATGGCGGGAGGGCTGGTGGTGGCCTCGCTGCTTGCTACCAAGTCTTCTCTTCTTGGATTAATGAGGCTTAATGCCACTGTGGTTCTGCCTCCGAAGGAAGGACAGGTGCTTCATGATTATTAAGCCCAGCAGCAGCCAGTAGACTGACTTATGTCGGCCTTGGATACCTTGAATGACAGAGAAAACTCCTGAGAAGTGACTAAGATTCTGGCTGTTTGGGCTCCCATTTAACGTTAGGTGAGGTAGCAGAGCCGGGTCTCAAGGCCGGTGCACAGGCTGGTTGCACAGGCTGGTGGTTCTAGTGGCCAGCAATGCCAGGGGAACTAAGCTCTCGTGTGCCCTGTACAATGGGCACCTTGTCCCAGGGCTGTGGGTGAATCCTATTACACCCCAGGGGCGTGCAGTTGGGCTGGCGTGGGGCGGGTGCCATGGGAAAGAGTAGTATCAGAGTAGGGTGACCACTCTCCAAGGCTCGCCCAGGGCTTCTGCACTAAAACCAGGGCAGTCTCTGTAAGCCGAGGTGGGCCTCGTGAAGGGCTGTGACAGCACTACCTACCTGAGTGTGTCTGCTTTCCCCTGCAGGCATCTTCACGGCTCCCTTTGATGGGCGCTACCTGATCACAGCAACCCTCACTCCGGAGAGGGACACGTATGTGGAAGCTGTTCTGTCGGTGTCCAACGCCAGTGTGGCCCAGTTGCACACTGCCGGCTACAAGAGAGAATTTCTGGAATACCACCGGCCCCAAGGAGCTTCGCACCCATGTGGTGGCCCGGGAGCCTTCCACCTGATTGTGCACTTGAAGGCGGGAGACAGTGTCAACATCGTGGTGACTGGGGGCAGGCTGGCTCACACGGACTTTGATGAGATGTACTCCACATTCAGCGGGGTTTTCTTATATCCTTCCCTTCCCCACCTCTAGGGCAGTGGTGGAGAGCAGTGAGAACTCAAAGCTTTAATATATTCAGTTTACGTAAGTTACCGGAGCAGTGTCTCGTTTCTGCAGACCTCCCGCCCCAGCTCCCAGATAGAGGCTTGTTTGGTTGCTGGGGCCAGCACACCCTTAGTCTCCTCGGAGTGAAGCGAAGCACATGGCCACTGATGCCGTCACTCGGACTGGGGAACAGGAAAGACCCCGGCCTGGTAGAGACCCCCACCCACCCTGGGCGTCTGCTTGAGTTCTGCTCCGAGTCCTGGGCGGGGCCATAGGGTGCTGACTGTAGAGGTCCATGAGACCACATCCTGCTGCTGGGCTGAGAGGGCAGACCGGCAAAATTTGGTGCCTGTGGCCAGTTTCATTGGAGGGCAAAACTGTTGCCCAACTCTTTGCATTTACACTGCACAAAGGAGAAAAGTTTCAACACTGAAGTGCTCCAGTGCACGTCTGCCGCACAGACCTCAGGCCTGTGCCCATCTGTGTGGAGACGTCAGACTGGCTTCTGGGCTCCTTGAATGACATGTACAATTGATGTGCAAAGACAGGGAGTGTTAATAAAGATTTAAAACCTTCAAGTGACCAAGTCTTAGGTCTGGTACTTTATGGCTAAAGAACAAATAGCAGAAAAGGTAGCAATTACCTTTTATAACTGAATAAATTATTTGACCATCTAATTGTTAGCTGCAGCTGTCAAGTTGTATATTTGGATTTTTTTGATTTGCACTAATAAGGACATAGCAGACATGGTTGGAGCAAGACCCTGTAGCTAAAAGGGATTCCTCCGAGGGCGTGCTAAAGACTCACTTCATAGCAGCTGTCCAAGTGCACGAGATGGCTTGCTGCACAGCTCACAGCGGCTCGAACTAGTTTCTAGTTCCCAGGCAACAAGGAAACTAACACAAAACTCATCACACGCTGGCAACCGAGATCATGTAAGGAACGCACTCAGCCCAGAGAGTCTGTTCTTGTTCCGAGGTGCCTAACACGTTCCTCCTTCACAGCAGCCTCAACTCCAAGGTGGTCCCTTCACAGCAGCTTGTTAAAACCTGTTGGCCACTCAAGAGCACCAGGAAGGTAAGCCCCTAGAGTCTTGGGAAGATGTGGACAGCTGAAACAAGATCCCTTGCCTTGAATGAAGTTGCGAGATAATCTCACACTACAAACATCTGAATTTTCCAGGTCTGCTTGCAAATGAGAAATAGTGGGCTTCAGAGTCTTCTCATCCCTCCCCATCCCCAGCTAGGGAGAAGAGACCAAGAATGAAAGACCTGTTGTTTTAGTGAGTGGGGAATGGCAGTCTTACCTCATTTCTCCAGCTGGGAACTGGCTAATGGTATCTGGCAGCGTTACTGCATGCAGTTCTAGAAATGACTCATTAAAAAACCCTCGTGCACTAGAGCATTTTCAGGAAACCCAGTTAGCACATGTCCTCACCCTCTTGCCCTCAACCACTCGTTTAAAGACCTCACTCAGTGCCAAAGGGACAAATGCTCCATAGTCTGCTAGCACCAGACAGAAGATGGTGGCTTTTCTTCCTTCTTGGATGGTTCTCTCAGTACATCTTGATGACTCACTCACCGAAAAGAGTTGACTATCAGCCCTATAGCAAAGACAGGCAGAGAAGAGTAAGTCTAATCACAGCAGGGTCTTGTGCTGACACAAGATGCCATGCAAGCCAGGTCATGACCTACCTAGATGCTGGCATCGTTTGCAGGCAGGCAGTCCTCTGGCACAGAGAGAACAGGCAAGGTCAGTTTAGCTTAGGGTGCAAGTCAAGAGCCCCAAGAATGCGGCATTTTTCCTACTTGTAAGAGTAGCAAGCGGCCTCATTTACATAATGAGCAGTAAAAACACAAAGCAATAAAGAATGAACTGCATTTGAAATTATTCCCACAATTAGTACATTCTGGCTTTCTCAGTGATGCAATCTTTGGAATAGTTTCACACAATTTACAGTTTGAAAGAAGTGGAAGTATTTGTAACCAAAGACATTAACGACATCCTTGCTTGCAGATGTGAAACAATGCTTTGCCCACACTCACGCCCACCTTACAAACATCTACATGTATTAACTCACCAATGGGGAGGAAAGGGGAAGGAAACACGCAACTCTTAAGGGTGTAGTGTGTGGCAGGAGGCAGTTGGCTGAGTCAGAACCCCTGGGAATCGTTTCCTTCCGAAGGAACCTGCCTGAGCTCTCTCCCAGCCATCATGTCAGGGAGAGAGGCACTCTAGAAGGCACACTCAAGAAGAACTTTAGGCACATGCCACATCTTGTAGAACCAGAGGTATGGTGATCCTCAAGAGATACTCAGTCAAATAACCTGTGTGATGTGGTGTCTGACCCAAGACCACTTTTGCTTCTTCTGAGTAGTTTTTACTCTGAAGGTTTAACGAGCAGTGAGAAGGCAAAGGCGCAGCGCAGGACTGCGAGGATGCATCCGAAATTACATATGTATGAGTGACTCATTCCCTGGCAGAACCTACAAAGTGAGAGAGGGTAGTTCTGTCGCACAGCCTCACTTTTGGAGTCAGGTTTTATAAAAATAAGCACTACAAAGAAGTCCTTCCTACAGATGAATTTAAGCTCCAGCAAAGATCAAAATATTAATTTATGGAAATTATCCATGTCTGGCAGGAGTCGAGAGAAGATGCTTTCAATGTCCTCTGAAGGAAAGAATCAAATACACTCTTTTATGTTTGTTTATTGTTGTAACATTGTTTTTGAACATCAAACACTGCACCAAAGTATGAGTCAGTCATCTTAAGACAACAGTCTGTGCCATAATTCAGAGCACTGGACTGATGCTTACAATTAAACTTTTACAACTTAAAAATTTAGTGGCATTACTGTCAAATAATCATGTACTTCATCAGAGACTGAATGTAATTCTTAAATTAAAAGAGCAAAGTTTCCCCCTCCTCCTCTTACCTTCAAAGCAAACCAAAAAGCAGTTTCACCTGGAAAAGAGCACTACTTCAAACACTCAATTTTTAACCAGATTCGTCAAACCCAAAATGCTCTGAAACGGGGGAAAACAATGCTTCCCAGAGTAAATTTTTGACAGCTGGAAACATGACAGGCTCCCTGGAAGCATCCGTTTTCGCCAACTTGCAAAAAGACTGTTCCTCTCCACCCGGCACGAACACCACCAGAAGGTGCGCGAGCCGCAGCGCGGCGCCCGCGCCCTCCAGCTGGCTGCTGCTGCTCAGTTCAGACTTCACACTAGAAGTTCTTTTTCCAGTTGAAAACCACGCAGAGGTTTTTAAGCAAGCAAACAGTGCTCGCTCACACAGGCTAGGAGTGTGTGTCTGGCATGCCGGTGAGGCTGTCACCACCACAGCCTACGGCTATGAACCTCAACACGCAAGTAAGTATTGAGGCGATTGCTCAAGTCAGGATGAAGTGGAAAGAGGGCCAGAGACCATGGCCATTTCAGCAGTGGAACCACTGAGAAGAACCCAAACTACCCGAGATCTCATCTGAGGCAACGCTTCTTCATACCCCACCACTGTGAGGGTCTGTGTACAAGTACACTCGAGGGCATCTCTCTTTCACAGAAAGAACAAATGTCATTTGTACCAAATGGCAATGGATTTTCAGCACAAACCTAACACTTTCATGACACTATAGTAATAGTAATCATCTACGTTCAGCAAGAGGGACTCCTTTAAATAAGGAAAAAGATGCACATTAATTAGCATGTACCCACTGGATCAATCTGCGGCAACAAAATGACGAAGGGTAGTGTTGATGGACGTCGCGACAGGGATCGGTCACCCTCAACACAGGCAGGGGGACGTGGTTTCCCATGTGTTCAGAGAGAAGAGCTTATCAAGAAGGAAAGAAAAAAAAAAACCCAACTGTCTAATTAAAAACTCTTTAAAGGACTACTGAAAAGGGACTATGGAAGTCTCACAAGGTTTTCTGTGCTGCACATATGCAAAGAAGCCCTATGACATCCAGGACAAGCGTGGAAAGCCCACATTTTTCTTCAGAAGCAAACAATCCAGAGGAGGCGCTGACAGCATCGACGAGATGAGGTACCTGCACGGCCAGGCGCTCACTAGGATTCACTAACTGGGCAGAACTTCACACAGAGGGAGTGGTGTACATAAACAAGCTCCTTATACAACCAGTCCTTGAACTACTTCGGAAGACAGCTTTGTGCTGAGGAAGCACGCGTCCCTCCCGAGAGCACAAGCTCCAGGGCTGCTGGGGACCTGTGTGTCAGGACGCCCCATCTCTGCATCCAACCACACCAAGAAAAAAGGCTGACCTAAGCCAGGGACTTTCAACTCTCCAATCTGGAAAAATATCCACCCCCTTCCTCCACCTTTAGGTAAGTCTAACTTGGGGGAACACACTAGGTCAGGATGAGCCCTCCACACAAGCAGAGGCGGCAGTGGAGCCTCCTGAGCGTGAGTCTGTACCTGCAGCTCCCACTCGCCCCCTGAACTCTGCTTGCTGCCTTCTCACCAACGCAGGCTTGTGTTTGATCTTTCCTGGTGCCCTGAAAAGCCACTCGCACTTCAGAGTGAGGACGACTGTCAACAGCCAGCCTGACTGCCACAGCTCTAGAGGGTCAGACAGGACGCAGCCACAGCTCATCACAAGCAGGCTGGGGTGGGGAGCTGGAAGGAGAAGACTGAGGAAAGGATCTTCCCGGACCCAGCGGTATATCCAACATTTCCAAAGCATCCCTGAATACAGAACTGCTGGGGGTTGCTGTTTAACCAACTGTCCTTACTAAATCCAAATGTATCTTGCAAGACCTGTGTCTAGCTAGGTCGAAACAGAACATAAGGTATCCCATCAAGGGGTAGTCAGCAAGGCATTGATCTAAGTGGCCACTATTTCCCAGAAGCCCACATTTGTGGGGTCAGATTCAGGGGCACTAAAGGCCCCTGCCAGGCAGACAGCAGTCCTGGCAACAACATGGCAGAGGAGAAGGAGGAGACGGAAGAAATGAGCACAGGCAGTGCGAACCCCTACATTAACTACCCAGAGCAGTTTAGTGGACACCCTGGCCCCCTGAAGAAAGCCCTGCTTTTAGAGAGTCAGTCAACTGCCCAGTGCAAATTGTAACTTTACTTTGTGCAATGTTTTGGGTTCACTCTTAGCTTTTTTCTTCCTTTTAAATTATGCAATGAACGAGCACCCAGCACACAACTCAACAGAGTATGCAAGGACCAACCCTGTGACAGGAGTCTAGGGTCAGGTCAGAGATCCTGCACTTTTCTCCCAGGCACTGAGCTGCAAAGCCCGTAGAGCCCAGGAAAGGGGAGGACGTCAGTTTCAGCTCCAGGAGGTGCCCCATTGCTGCTCCAGAAAGCTGGTGCTGTCAACACGTGTCTGGTCCCGCACCTGTGGCTTGGAGGGTAGCCCAGTGTCCTCTGTCCAGCAGAAGTGCGGGTTACCTTCCTTTGCTGCAAGGGGATTCGAGGACCTCACTGTGGAGGTGCTGCCTCAGGCCAGGTCATACAGGTCCACTCTGGGAATTGGCTCTCGCCAGTAGCAGAAGGAGCTGAACTCCGGGCACGGAAAGGCGGAATTCTGCTCCTTGTCAAGAAGTGGGAACACGTGTTCCACGAGCTCACTCAGTCTATGATACCTAGGAGAAGGGATTGGAGCAGAAACACACAAAACGTTAGTCTGAAATGGATTTAAGAATACAACACTGTAGGATATGAAGAAAGTTAATCAGTGGATAATCCAAGACAGGTACCAATCCCCTTCCTAGGACACAGCTTTCCTCTAAAATGATTCCTGATCCCACGAAAAATTACTGTAGAGGAGAAATCACCCATGCAAAGAAAAATCGTCTCCAACTTGGGCACTTGACCCTCAGAATCTGTGTCCCTAACTTTACCCCTGACTGGGGGGTGGGAGTGTACTTACGATGACTTGTTTCCTTTGGTCCTTTCTTGTATTAATTCACCCTTGGGGTTCACGGTGAATATTCTACAGTCTGGAACTCCAACTTGTGTGTAAGCATAGACATCCTGGGGAAGAATAACAGCAAGTGGGGTGATTACAAAGAAGAAAATAGGGAATGCTTCTCTGGTTCATTGTTAGCCAGAAGAACTGCATAAACAGAAGACTCCAGAGGAAAGATGTGGAGCTGGGCACCCCATAGTCGGGGAGTCAGAAACTTGGGAGCCACAGAGACACCAGGGGAACCAGTGTATGTCGGGTTAGGGAGCAGTGTCCCCTACATGTCTGGGACCTGATGGCCTGAGAGGGGCACGCTGGGGAAGTGTTAATGCAGTTTGCGTACCAAGCTGCAATTTGGAGCAAATCCAAGGACATGGCTTAGAACATGAGCTTTTTGAATCACTTAGAACATGAGTCAAACTTTCTAAGAAAATGTAAAAGCATCTACATATTCTGGGGCTGATCCTTTACCTATGGACCTTACCAACTGCCACGGAAATCTGGAGCTAAGTGAAAACTCACTTAGCAGAACAGACATTCACTTTGCCCCTAAGACTGGCTTGAGAATTACTACAGGGCTATACCCTAAGAGTAATTCCTCTGAATTTCACCCACGTCAGAACATGTAGCCCCAAAGAGACACTTACATTTGGACGGTTTCCAAAGGCAGCATAGAAGGGCTGCTTGGATGGGGCAAACAGATTCTTGATGTCATTTAGACATTCAATTTTGAACTTCTCTGGCTTCTTTTCTATCACTTCCCTATGGGGAAAAAAAAGTGAGCAAACTCAAAATGGGAGTTCTCCCTGGTATGTTAGCCTTAGCCTTAAGAAATTTTAGTGCCGGCACCAATATTATTTTAGTCCTTTGAAAATGGCATCTTTTCCCTTCTCTGACAGTCAATCTGATGACTACAACAAATGGAAAGATAGGGGTTAAGGAAAGAGAAAACCCAACAACCTGACCTTTCTGACCTGGGCCGGGTGAGCTGAGTTTGAGTTATCACACAGTTTGAAACACCTCTCCGGCAGTCTGCCACCTGCCCTCAGTGGATCAGGCCGCGTGCATAAGTCACGTGGCTGCCCGTGGTACGCGGAGACGTACCTGTGGAAGGCGGAGAACAAGCTGCTGGGAGACAGCATCAGAGGGCCCCGGGGCAAGATGGTGCCCTTATCATTGACCCAGTGCAGGTAGCCACGTGTCATGTCAGCCATGCCAATAGCGCGGGCAGAACAGTACAAGAACTTGTAGCCATTCCTGAAAAGTGAAGGTGCCTCATTAGTTCATGTGCTTGGGTTAAAGGGGGAAGCAGCACTTTCTTTTTAAAAGATCTAAATAAAGTTTACTCATTTACTCTGAAAATGAAATTCTCAAAAACAGAGACTATTAAGTTCTCATCTATCTTTTCATGGAAAATACCATGGGAGAAAATGAAAGTATACTCAACCGGGGATTATGCTACATGAGTAAGTAAATTAACTCCTGTAACGGAAAGATATTCATAAAAAACAATTTACAGAATGCAAATCATTCTATAGGACAAGGAGAAAAATTATACCGGATATCTGACATACGCATCATTTTCTTGTTTCATCATTTAATTTTGTAATTTTGCAAATCAATTTAATTCATGGAATAGGATCCCATAAAGGTCATAGCACTATGTCTTCTTGAAAAGCATCCTAACAGAGAGGTACCAAGGGGTAAATTATTTCCACATGCATTATGTATCTCCCAGCCAAAGAAATGTAACTAAAATATATTTAATTAATAATAAACTAAACATGAAAACTAGCTATCTTGTTAAATTATAATATAAAAACCCCACTAGCCATAGCTATAATTACAGATATGGTCAGTGCCTAAAATCACAGCATTATGAGAATGAGCCAGAGGTAAAACACGATGCCCCGTGAGGCACTCAGCTCACGTTTATAAAAGGCAGTGGCTACTTTTCTTTATGTGAGACTCCAAGGGAAAGGAGTGGGGAAGAGCAGGAAAAGCTGCCTCGGGTACATAGGAAATTCCAGTTCTTAAAGTGAGCGTCATGCAGTCATGCTGGGTGTGATACCTACTCATTGATGGAATGGTAGAGCTTTGCTATCCCCTGATGAGTCCAGTCTTTACCCAGTTGTGGAAGAATCTGTCCCAAAGCATCAGATCTGAAAGGGTATAGGAAAAGGAAAAAATATCAGGAATCAAGCCTATAAAAGTCAATAAAAACCATATGCCAAATACAAAGGAGGCGAGAGGACAATCTACAAAGGCCACTTCGTCACAGCTTACGCAACAGCAGTCCTCTGTAAAGACACCACTGAGGAGTTTCTGAAAGTGGAGTCACACACAAGAGCCACCAGGCATCCTTAGCGATAACTAAAAGTGACTCATATCCTTTTCTTTTCCCTAATCACAGCAGCTTTCCTGTTCCCCTAAAGAAACACTAGAAACCAAGGAACTGTATCTTTTCAAAGACATTTGTATATCTCCACCCAACTGCCCCATCCATCAAATGACTCAACTCAGGACATTTCAGTGCAAAGTTAAAAAGAGCTCCCCAGTAGTGGCCAGGGCAGGATGCCCAGCAAAGGACACCCGCAGCAAACCCCTGTGCACCCCCACTCCCTGTTACCCTCCACAGGCTCCTGCTTACTTAGTGATTGTTCCATCAATATCAGAAATGATGACTTTGTCGTTCCAGTTCCATAGGTAAATGGTCCCCGCACAGCGGCAGGTCCCTTGGTACTGAGTTGTAATACTAAACACAACATCATTTGGACCATCCTGGAGCTTCAGTTTTGCCTTTTATAAAAAGTAGAAAAATAAAATCATTGTGGGAGAATTTGGGAATTTTTTTTCTTTTTTACATTTTAAGAGGACAAGTTATTAGGAAAAGGAGGAAGAAAAAAAAAAAGAGGCACCTGCAGAGTCCCAGGTGAGCAGGAGAGCTGCCAGCATTTTGAAAATTAACGGTACATCTCTCAGGTGGAACTTGCAACAACTAGAAGTTTTATCTCCGAATACTATGTAGTCACTGGGGGACTACTTAAGACATAATGTTAACAAAAAAAAAAAAAAAAAAAAAAAGTGATGTGAAAAGGACCTGAATCTCTAAAATGTGGCTATGTGCACACTTGTGCATAAACATAAAGAACGAGAGAAATTACACAAACAGCTTAATAAGAAAAGGAACAGAGGGCCCTTCCTGGTGGTGCAACAGCTCAAAGCTAGATGAAACTGCTTCACCTCCCCAGACAGGGAGGTGACCCACATGGCAGGGCAAACCTCGCCTGTCTCTCCCGCTGCTCCCCTCTGCAGTGTACTTCGTCAATCTGCCAGTTCTCTGGTGAATCCTCTCATAGCCCCTATACCGCTGGCCCCTACCCCAGTGATTTATTTATGAATAAATGAATATAAAAAAAAATAAAAGGAAGGGAAAAGGAAATCAGCGAAGAAGAGGGACACAGTGAATACTTATGATCAACCAGGGGTACGTGTGAAGACCCAGCCCCAAAGCAGCATGGCCTCTGCCCCCACAGCACACTACATGGCACTGAGCGGGCCTTGCTCACAACCATCTCTTCCCTATTCTGGAGACTGCCCTGGGGCACAGCCACCAGTTCACATTGAAAGTCAGGGAACAGGAGACAGATAAAGGATATTGTGAAGAAAATGGCCTATCTATGCTGATGTTCCCAAGAGATAGGAGTGGCCCCAGTTAGAATAGATTCTTGGTTCACTCCTCCTAGAGAAAAGAGGTGGAAGACCCTGGGTGAAGGATGCTGTGCCCCAGTCCTGCAGGTGATCCTGAAGGTGGGGCATGAGCAGCTACAGGGTCACACACCATGCAGCACGCGTAATACTTGGAATGGGTGAGGACAGAAGAGGATGCTCTTGCAATTAAATAGCAAGAGATTCTGACCACACCTACATGGATCACACACAACTCACAATCTGATCGGAGGAGAGTCGAAGAGACTTCTTATACGAGGTTGCACTGCTGTGGCTTGTGGGGTCTGTGACAACAGGGTCCACTTTGATTGATTCTTCAAGCTCCTGTGACCCCTCATCACTGGATGAATCATCCTCAGCTGGCCTGTTCAACATCAACTCAGTTACTGAAGAGGCAGTTAACATCAAGAAAACCCCAAATCTATTCTAGAGAAGGGAAGAATTGTTTCCTCGAATGGTCTACCATGCTTGAATATTTACCACGAAGTGACAATAAGGTCACCTTCCTCCTCCCTCTCCTGATTGGCCAGCAGTTACCTCTGGTGAAGAAAGATCATTGCTTGCTATGACCAATGATGCTATGAGGTCTACTAATTCCTGTTGAAGAGGATTACGTTGTTGGGGCCTCTCTGGCGGTACAACATGTTTAAGTGTCAGCACTATGAAGTTATCCGTAGCCACTGCAGCACGAGTTTGATCCCCAGACAGGGAGCTGACCCATATGGCATGGCAAACCTCACCTGTCTCTCCCGCTTCTCCCCTCTGCAGTGTATTTCAGTAAATCCACCTGCTCTGCTCCCCACTCAGTCTCTGGTGAATCCTCTAAGCCCCCCACCTCTGAAATGAATAAATCTTAAAAAAAAAAAAAAAATTATGTTGCTTCAAAAAGTACAAATTAAATAAAATATAACTGCTTGCACGACTTAGAAAACTACTAAGATGTACCCTTTCCCTCTACTCCCAGGTAAAGAAGAAAATCAAGCCCTAGATTTAGGCAGACCATCAAAGTTAGGAATGGGCAAAAAAAATAAATCTGGGTAATGGGCGGATGGCAGAAACAAGAACGGGGTGCATGGCAGCAGTCATTCTCAAACAAGCCAATCCAAATGTCCAAATGGGTGTTACTGCTGCCAAGAAATCAGACAGATCCACACCATCCTTTGAGATGAATTTTCATATCTGTTTGGTGTTTGAAGGGAGTTGGGGAGCAATGAGGACAGTACAACTGAAGGCTTGAGCTCCCCTTCCCAGAGACCTACTTTTCGCAGGATCCAACTCTATGAAGGTATTAGGAAGCAGTAATATGTATATTTACTATAAGTAGTTTTAAAAAAAAAAAAAAAAAAAATTATTTATTTATGTTTATAAGAACTGGGGTACAGGCCGGGGGGTGGGTTTTGGGGGTGAGGGGAGGGAGAGGGCCTGTGTGTATATGTGTATGTGTGTGTATGAGGATTCACCAGAGCAGACCACTGAAATACACTGCTGAGGGGAATAGCGGAGAATCAGGAGAGGTCTGCCACACCATGTGGATCACCGCCTGGTCGGGGATCGAAACCGTGCTGTAGTGGCCTCAGATAGCTACACAGTGCCATGCCTTCACCTGCTGTGCCACCAGAGAGGCCACCCCCCACCCTGTGTGTTTTTTTTTTTTAATTTAAGAAAAGCAGAAGTTATCACCTGCTGAGTGGCAGCCACTATTGTCATGTATGTCCAGACAATAAAAAAATTTCTGATTAAACAAAACTGCCAAATTAAAATTAAACATTGGTCAAAGCAGGGGTAGCTCATGCACTACAAGCCTGCAGGAAAGGACAGGGTGTTCCTACCTGCCACTGGCTGGTTCCTTTGTGCTTGATGGCAGGTCACTAGTCGGTGGCACCTCAGATTTCCCCCCTTCCTTGGCTTCTGGTAGCTAAAACAGCAAGATAATAAAGGTAGTGTGTGATTTGTCCCCTCTACAGTAATTCAGCAGCTCCAAGAACAAGCAAAACCATTTTCTGAATCTACAACTTAAATATGTTCAATAAACAGACATTCTCTGGTGTGAGCTAAGGACAGAAACTTGAGATAGAAATCTTATACTATGTAAAAAACCCAGATACTACAAAGCCATAAGTAAAAATTTTAAAAGAGCAACCTCTCAATTCACAACACAGTCTACAGGCCCATACTTGTTAGGTCGGTGGCAGGGACAGCGGGGTGCAGAACAGAAGCGAAGGGGGAGAGTACGCCCCTACTTCCACAGAAGATAATGCAACAAAGCAGAAAAGAGTAGTCTTGGATTCCTACTCAAGGTCAAACCCTAGCTCCAACCCAAATCAGTTCTAAGCTAACACTGCCTCTTTACTACACCCACTTCCTCACTTACAAGTGGAATTCCAAACATCTGTGTTACTAGACTGTGCTAAAGGTGAGAGGTAATGTACAGAATTGAGCCCACTGTGCAGGAACTATTCAAGAATGGGGACAGAGCATTATATAGCCCAAAATGACTCCTCTTATGTCGGGCAAAAAGGGTTTTTTAATAAATTAAAGGCTTACTTCTAGGTCTGTTACCTGTTTTGTCATGCTTTCTCTCTTGCGCCAAAACCACCAGCGACCAGATTTCTTTGGCATTTTATCTTTAACCCAAGACTCCACAGTGGCCTGGAGATAAACAAACAAAAAATTTACTGGTCATGAAGACCTGACTACTTTCACCGCTCTCGTAGAGCAGTGCCTTCCAAAACATGGCAGCCACAGCAGCACGCCCTGCGGCACTTGTGTGGTCCGAGGCCAGGATGTCTGGCTACAGCAGGGGCAGTTTGTTTGGGGCTATTATGTGAACTACTCTCATTTCTCCAACCTTAGAAAAGATGGTTCTCATGAGTTACAAAGACCAACTAGGCCCATGATAGTCGTCTTACGTTGTCCTATACAACAGGCTTCTTAGCCAAAGTTTCACCCAATTACACTTCAACTGGCCACATCACCCTCTTTTAGCTGTCGCTTTTTAGACTAGTAAGAGGAAAAGTGGTCCCCCCATTCATTCTACATCTAACAATCAGTGAGATCTCTCAACTTTATACATAATCAGAAACCATATATAGTAAAAATGAAAGAGATGTGACACACCAGCTTATTTCCTAGATTTTGGGAATGAGATCATTTGAGGGGACACACCTAATCTTTGGCTCTTTAATGTTAATTTTATAGTGCAGCCAAAACTTTAGAGTAGTACCCAGCTTGCTTAGAAAATGGCATATAAAAGTTTTTCTAAACACTACACGTGGAATACATAATTTTAAAAAGGCGACAAAATGGTGGATCATCTCACCTTAGGCAAACTCTTCTGGAATACTTGCAAGCTAAGGACCATAGGAGCAGCCAGAGCCCAGTTATAGTAACTGTGAGAGACAAAAATTGTGCCACACCATTACACACAGAGAAGTGACAGCAAGGCAGAAAGGAAGGGAAAGGAAGGAGAGGAAAACAGAAGTGGGAAAAAACAAATTCCTTCATCTTTTTAATAAGTTTTTTTTGACATATGAATGATTTCTGTCTGAAACCACCTTCTGTGAAAGCATTACAATCTCAAAGATAGAGCCTCACTTTCACTTTAAAGCCATATCCACTGACTAACTTAGATGGAATGATATATTTTATGGAGAACATGTGTAGCAGTTAAGAAGTGCACTTGGGAAAATGTCTACAAGAGTACTGAACAATTATAAAAGCAAGAGTATTTACCGGTTATATATCCGTATTACAAGGTTAGGATTGTCTATAAGTCCAGGGTTTTCTGCAAATTCATGGTAAGTAATGAGATGTTCCATGAATTTTTCTGCAATGTAAAATAATAATGATCCAATTGGTTAGATATATAAATTCCTATGTGGAATTATCAAAACACTCTGTATTGAAGATACTATTGGATAAACTCTTAGGGGGAAAAACACCAAAACCTCTCCTCAAACCCTTAGAAAAATTTGAGAAAAGAACATTCCCAAACAATTTTATGAGGCTAATATTACTCTAATACCAAAACTAAACAAAGACAACATTATATATATATATATATATATACCAATTCTCTAACACAGATGCAACAGTCCTCATAAAATCTCAGGTCCTCAACCTGTTTCTGGTGACTACTCTCACCGCCACTGCACCTCTGGCCTGCACCAGTTCTGTAAGCATAAATAAATAAATCTGGGAAAAAAAAGTTAGGCAAGAATAAAAGGAATGCAAATTGAGATGAAGTAAAGTTATCAATAGTTGCTGAATATACAGAGAACTCTAAAGACTCCACTGAGAAAGTAAATGAAACAGTAAGTGGCAGGTTATCAAGTCAATTGCCTTTCTATATAAATTATTTAAAAAGGAAGAAATTAAGAAAATGGTTTCATCTGATACAATCACAACATAAACAATACCTAACATTAAACCTAACAAAGACGTTAAATGACCTATATAAACAGAACAAAAAGACACTGTTAAAAGAAGAAGGAGACAAAGAAATGGAAAGATATTTCCTGCTGATGAACTAGAAGAATCAACCCACCCTACCCAAACATTATACAGATTTAATGTCATCCCTATCAAAATCTCAATGGCATTCTTTTAAAAAATAAAACAAACATTACTGAAATTCATATGGAACTACAACAGACTCCAAATAGCCAAAGCACATCTGGCAAAATGAGGGAAAGTGGCAGTATTACACTACCAGACTTCAAACTATACTAAAAAGCTATAAAAATTAAAATAGCATGGTACTGCAACAAAAACAGACACCCAGACCAATGTAATAAATAAACCCACATTTATGTGTGCAACTAATATGACAGAGTCAGTAACATACACTGGAGCAAAGAGAGCCTCTTCAATAAATGGTGTTTGGAACATTGGACAGCAACACACAAAAGAATGAAGACAGATCAGTATTTTATATAATACCAATATTCTATATAACACAAAAAAAATCAGTTTACAATTGATGACTCTGATGTTAAAACATGAAACATAAAACAGGCAAAATAGTCCATGACACAAGCTATAGTGAAGTCTTTCCAGATACATCTCCTACAGCAAGGAAAACAAGAAAGACCACATAAACAACTGGAACCACAAAAAAGGTTTTGCATAACAAAAGACAAAAAAAAAAAATCCAACGAAAGGGAAAAAATATTCCAGCACCATGCAGTTGACAAGGAGATTATTTTAAAGATCTACAAAGAACTTAGACAACTCAGCAAAAAAGAAAACAAATGCCCCAATGAAAAAAATGAACAGAAGAGGGGAATTCTCAAAAAGTAGCCAACTGGAACATGAAAAAATGTTTACCAACATTATCAGGGAAATGAACATCAAAACAACAATGGCATACCACCTGACTCCCACTCCTTGCTACCACACACTCTCTATATTTTAAAAGGACAGGTTTATTAGGAAAAGGAAAGAGGAAGAGACACACCTGCATAGTCATAGGCAGGTTAAGATATTCCATACATTTTTTAAGGATTAAAAATAAAATTATTTTGAGCATGACCTATACAAGTTTTTGATGCTAGAAGGAATTACTGACAATAACAAACCAATTTTTACAAAATAATAAGCAAAGAATTGAGAGATGGAGAAAGAGGCAGAATGAGTATTCCTGTGAACCTTAAAAATTGAGACTCCGGCGTCCTCCCTGGTGGCACAGTGGGTTACAGCACTGCACTAAGAATTTTTGAGCCACCTCCGCATGGGTTCGATTCCCGCCTGCCCCGGGGGGGATCCACATGGCGTGGCAGACCTCTCCTGGCCCGCCCGCTGCTCCCCTCAGCAGTGTACTTCGTCAATCTGCCTGTTCTGCTCCCCACTCTGTCTCTGGTGAAACCTCTCACCCTCCCCACCTCTGGCCTGTACCCCAGTTCTATATGAATGAATAAATCTTAAAAAAAAAAAATTGAGACCCCGAAAAGCAGTGCAGCAGCCTGGGGTACCCAGTATGCCAGGTGCAGACTTTCAGCTGCCCTAGGGCTGAGAAGACAAACAATGCTAGTTAAGCAAAGAAAAATCTTAGACAAAATCAAGAACCATCACTCAAAAGTGAAAATATTAAGTAGAGTTTGGTTTACAAGGGAAGGTAAACCAGAAAATGCCTAAGATCTTGGGACAGACACACACAGATACTGAACCCAGATCAGAAATACCAGCACTATCTCTGCTAAAGTCCCTTCCTTTCCAGCAACTACAGTCTCCTGGACCAACTCCCATATCTGAGAAAGAAAGTAATCCTTTCTGCTTTTCTTTTTTTTAAGATTTATTTATTTATGAATACAGAACAGGGGTACAGGCCAGAGGCACTGGTGAGGTGAGAGGATTCAGAGTGGGGAGAGACAGAGTGGGGAGCAGAACAGGCAGATCGACGACAAAGTACACTGCTGAGGGGAGCAGCGGGCAGGTCAGGAGAGGTCTGCGGCACCATGTGGTCACCTACGGAGCAGGCGGGGATCAGACTCATGTGGAAGTGGCTTTAGCTTCTTAGTGCTGCGCTCTAACCCGCTGTGCCACCAGGGAGGGCCCCCTTTCTACTTTTTTTGCCAGGAAAATCATTTACTCAGGGACAATAATTTTCTACAACTTCAGGCTCTACTGTTTAAGAACCACTTTTTTCCAGTCCAGAAATATTTCAACATCACAGATGAGACAAATTAACGTACATGTGAGCTGAACTTGGGCTGGCAAACAGGGGAATCTGAAAACTTAACCTCTTACTGTGGAAAAGAGCTCTCAAGGTTTCCACACCAACTCATTTATATATGTCACACCAAATGATGTACCCTAAATGAGGGACTAAGATCAAAGGGAGATACCTATCACTTGTCACATAACCATCAAAGAATTTAGCAGATTATCAAATAAGTGATGACAAGACAGCTTTCTTGAGTGAAAGCAGATCACAATCGCCTAGTGTACCTTTAGAGATCTCTCCGTTTTCACTGAGGCCCCCACAAAGGGAGAGGGTGACATCGGGCAAGTCCATGGCAGAATCTGAAAGGCACTCTGTGCCACTGTCAGCAGCTGCACTTCCCACAGACTGTGGGGACTGGGAACCAGAGAACGTGTCTGACTCGGGCCACTGTCTGGAGCCAGGGTCCGATTCACTGCAAGCAGAGGACAGGGAGAAAAGGATTGGCCTTATTATTATAACTTGTATCCCAGAGTTCTGAGGGCTCAGACCAATTAACAAGATCTCTTTAAAAGGGTTTGACTAATTATACCCTTTCTGATTTAAAGTTATAGCAACCTGTTTATATTTCACAATAAAAATAACAGAATAATTATTAAAATCTGATGTACAGAAATCTTTTGATTCTAGCTACCTAGAAAAAAGCTGTGGTACTACCATACATCCTGTAAAAAGTCATAGGCTACTTTATTTATTTTAAAGACTTATTTAGTTATGCACACAGAGCTGGGGTATAGAAGTGCAGGGGTAGTGACAGTATTCACCAAAGACAGAATGGGGAGCAGAACAGGCCGACTGACAAAGTACATGCTGAGGGGAGCAGCGGGCCATGTGGGTCTGCCGCGCCATATGGGTCACCTCCAGGGCAGGGATCGAACTCATGCTGAAGTGGCTTTAGCGCTTTAGTGCTGTGCTTTAACCCGCTGTGCCACCAGGGAGGGCCAGACTACATGATTTTTAAAAAGGCTTTTTCTAAATGTATCTGTTATCTCACAAAAAGAAGTGAAACAAGGGAAAATTCTCAGGAGGCTAGACTTCCCCTAGAGAAAGAGTGGTACTGGGAAAAAAAAAATAGATGAGAGGCAATGAATAAGACTGGAAGTCAACAGCTCTTACAACAGTCAGGGTCAGAACTAAAGATGGATTATTCAACTTTATCTTGAATGGTCAAATATAAGCCACAGATTTTTAGAAGGTGATTTCTTAAGGGAAACCTTGTGAGTATAAATTTAAGAGAAAACAAGAATATAGCACCTTAAGTCTCTTGGTCATGACTGTTTATTGCTCTACTCTTGGTGAATGGATGCTTAATGTCACATTGAGATATCGTTCCAGATTTCCAAATTATTTTATTCAGAAAGTCAGCATATTTAGCAAGTGAGCCAGGAACATTACATGAATGATCTTTAAGGAAAAACTCTCAAATTTGAGCAGTAGGTGGCAGTAGAGCACATGTCAGAAAAGTTTCAAAAACCCCAAAACAGAACCGTGTGCTCCAAAACTCCTTGTGCAAGGTCTCCCACCATGCACCAGCAATGGAGCAGTAGCACATGGGCAAGAAATAAAATTCTGTTGTGGTAATTCACTGAGGTCTTTTTCTAGTTAGCATACATTTACCATATATACATTTTTCTTGTGTTGAAAACACTATCTACTCTCTTAGCAATTTTCAAATACAAAATAAAAAGATCATAAAGTATAGGCCAAGTTATATCAGGGTAGCTAGTATAACTCTAATCAAGTAACTTTTAAATACTTGGAGGATGTCACTTGACTAAGCAGCGGACTCGTAGTCAAGATGACAATGGAAATGATAAACACATGCTCATAAGCATTATACATATTTCACTAAGTACAGCTGGCCACTGGAAAATAAGAGTTTGAACTGCATGGGTCCACTTACACGAGAATTTTCTTATTAACAGATGAAGTTAACTCGAAGTATCAAAATATAGTATGACGCTGGAACTATATTTTCTTTTGATTTTTCTCAACACTTTCCACTCCCTTTTATTGTAAGAAAAAAAGTATATAATACGTATAACTTACAAATATGTGTTAAGGATTCCTGTCCCCACGGCATTTGATATTCTTTCCAATTTTATGAAAAGGAAACTAAAAAAACCTATTTTAGGAATATCAGCATAAATAAACAATTAAGGACCTGAAAATTTAAAAGAGCTTAAATTACATTTTAACTTTCTTTTAAAAAAAATTCTAGTAGTATTTTTTAGTTTTTGTAACTTAAAAACTGAACAATTACTTCAGGTGATATTTTGAGCCAAATTAGGGCAGTGAGGCTAAGAACCTTTCTAAAAATACCTGTAAAAAACTTAAATATCTTCATACCAATCTCACCTTTCTATTTTAAATAAAAAATGTGGGCCCTCCCTGGTGGCGCAGCGGGTTAAAGCACAGCACTGAGAATCTAAAGCCGCTTCCGCATGAGTTCGATTCCCGCCTGCCCCGGAGGTGACCACATGGCGTGGCAGACCTCTCCTGACCCGCCCGCTGCTCCCCTCAGCAGTGTACTTCGTCGATCTGCCTGTTCTGCTCCCCACTCTGTCTCTGGTGAAGCCTCTCACCGCCCCTGAGCCTCTGGCCTGTACCCCAGTTCTGTATGCACAAATAAATATAACTTTTAAAAAAAAAAAAAAGTAATGAAATATTTTTTCAATAATTTATTTAAAGGTTATATCTATGGCTCAGTATATTCAAGTTACACCTTTTAGATGTGTTTTGCAACCAAAGGGTCACACAGGCATTACCCTAAGAACAGAAATTAAGTTGGGAAAACAGTTTCTAAATCTGTAATTTCTTAGCCTTCAGATTTATTCAAAGGGAAAAGTCACGAGGGAGGGCGTGTGCGACTGTGGGGACAGTGCTGGTGCACGTGGAGTGCACAGGTCAGGCCGGACACACGCTCAGAAAAGCCTGGGAAGAGTTCAGAATCACTGAAGGAGTTAATGCATTCTTTGGGAAATGTTTTTAAATGGGGAAGAAAAAAAAAAATTTTTAAACATGTAATAAAACAAATGCAAATGAATTTTCTTAAGCATGCTGAGTTTTAAAAACTGCTAACTAAAGTCATATCTATCTATATGATCATACTTACATAGGTTTAACTAGGACAACTGCTCATTGTATTGATAACTTTTTCATAAATAGGTATAATTGTATTTCAAATCATTATAATCAAAACAACACATCCACAATTTCTGATATTTTCCAAATTGTGATGGAATTACCCAGGATAGCCAGAAGTACCTCACCTTGCTCCTTTCTCTTGGATTAAATGTTCAGCTCTAGAAACAGCTAGGCTATCTCAGAATTGTGTTTATTCTTCAATATACAAGGAAGATACTACCTTTTGGGGAAATAAAGAGCCGCAACTTCAGGTTCCAGAGACTTTATATCATCTAGGTAAATATCATCAGGTCCCTGGTGCTGGCTTCTCTTGTGGACACCTGTTTTTATAAGAAATAACGCATCAGAGATAAGAATTCAATAATCCTCCATTTACAACTCCACAAGATAGATAACAAAGGTTTGCAAGTAAAACCTTGAATTGGGTTTTATTTTTAAAGTGTCAATAATCTTTTTGCCTACATTGGTCTCAACCATCCATGACAATGGAAGTGAGACTTGAAGTTGCACTGACCATCTAACAGTCACTCAATAAATACATGTTGATTATCTATTCTTTCATTTGCTATTGCATGAATAATTTTAGCCCCTTAATCACTAATTGTGAAACCAACAAGAATGAACAAACTTGATGCAATCACCAACATGGAGAAAGAGACCATTATTCTAAAATAACCAGGGAAGAGAAGTTGGCAAGCAAGATATTCATGTGATGTGAAAATATTAAGATATATTACCTCCTAACTGGCAAATGACAAAAATTCTTTATAATGGACAAACCTGAAGGCAGTAATTTTATTAAGTGACAAACAGCACCACTAAATAGTGATACACAGGAGATTAAATATGAAGACTACCCTATAAAATAATCAGTCTTTAGTTCAAAAAATAAAAATGTGTAACTAAATCTAATAAAGCTAGATCTCCACTGCCCAATACAGTAGTCATCAGTCATAGGTGGCTTCTGAGCACTTGACCTGTACTTGTCTGGAGAGACACATTAATGTGTCCAACATGTAAATTTCTAAGACTTAGTATTAAAATAGTAATGGCTCATATTGATTACATGTCAAAATTATACTTAGAATATATGACTAATTTCACTTATTTATTTCTACCTTTTCTTTATCACAAGCAAATTTCAAATTACAAATGCAGCTCACATACATTCCTATAGTATAGTGCTGCTCCAGGGCTAACTTCCACATTTAAGGAATTAAAGAGATGTCATCTTCAAAGAAACATTTAGATACATCCAGAATGTGAGAAAGTATACAAGACAACTGGCTAGGCTTTTGCAAAGGGAATATTCTGGGTAGAGAGGGGGAAATAGGTAGAGCTGTGTGAGTGAATGAGTGAGGAGGAGGCAGGGACAAGGGGAAAGGGTGAGGGGAGGAATGAGAACCAATGCATGACAAATTTTGCAATAAAATGATAGAGTTGAGGGAAAGAATGAGGTCAAAAGAATGGAACAAAGCACTTGATATTGCTATCTCTACTTAAGTCGCCACATGGTATGCTAAGAATAGGGGTTATTATTTTCTAGGTGTTGCTATGGAAAGGACAGGATCATTAATTCCTGGATTAAAATGTCTACTCTAAAGAACTGGATCGTTCCCCTTAACATCTCTAAAAGTAGAATGCACGACTATGAGTTTTTGGTTTCAGAAAAGCGGGGCGATGAGAGGGCAGGTGCCAAGGTAAGCCTCCACCAGCTGTATGTCACATAAGCAAAGTACCCTTATAGTCAAATTCATTTATTTTAATTATTTCTGAGTGATGCTGAAGGTCTATTTCTGTAGTCTTTATTAGGTCAATTTGTGATCACCTCATTTTTGTGTTATTATTTTTAAAATAATATATATGACAGTGGTAGGTACTTTAGGTAAAATTTACCTTCCTAAAGCAGGGGCCAGTGCTCAAATCTTGAGTGTGTTCAGGTTTACTTTACCAAGGATCAGCAGAGAACTACGTATTTTTGTATAATAAGAATGCTCTGATTAAACTTGTATTCTAAAAATGACTGTGAAGTCAAGTCTACCTACTTTACTTGTTAACTGATCTGAGTGTGTTTACAAATTTTTCAGATAAATGATTGAAACAAATACCAAGTTTAGGAGGAAGGAGGGAAGTCAGAGTCCTATCCTAGCAGGATATGTAGTGCAATAGTGCATGATTTAGTTTTCAACAGAGAGGACAAAGATAACCATCACATTATTAAGTGATACACTGACATAATTTACTGTCTAAATTCACAGTGACAGATGCCAAATTAAACTGTTACCTTTCTTCTTTGATGGTGAGTCTACTTTAGCAGCTGGTTTTGATTCCAAGGGTGACTCCACCAATGACATGGCAAGGTGGTCTGCATCTAACATAGATGAACTCTGAGGAGGCTCCAGGGGAGGGTGGAGAGGCTCTGAGGTGGGAGTCGTATTGCTCAGCTGCTTACACAGGGCTCTGGGCTTGGGTTTCACTATAGTACAGACGGTTTCTTCCATGGACGCATCCTTTTCAACTTCACTTAAGAGACTATCCTCAGTGGGAATTACACGAAAATGGGTATTTTCTGATGGTGTGATCGTAGCTCTTCTAGGATGCTCAGATCTCTCTCTCTTGCTTATCTAAAAAAGTTTATTTGTTTAAAAGTTAAACTTTCGGACATGGAAACAACCCAAATGCCCAGAAGTAGATGACTGGATTACTCAGCAACCAAAATAAATAAATAAATAAATAAACACATGCCTTTTGCAGCAACATGGATGGAGCTGGAAAAGATCATGCTTAGTGAGATAAGCCAGAAAGAAAAGGAAAAATACCGAATGGTTTCACTCATAGCAGGAGCATAAAGGAACAAGCGAGAGAAAAAAAAGAAAATAATAATAATAATAATGAACAATATACACCAGAGACAGGAGTGGATGGGAAATGGGATTAAAAACAGTGGGGGGAAGGAAGTACACTGGACCATGGTGATGGCACAGGGGTGATTTGGTGATGGGAAGCCCATGGGGATTGCAAATGAGATGGAAAAGGCACAAAATGATGTAAAAATAAACTATTGTATTATTTTAAAAAGATAAAAAATAGTTAAACTTTCAAAGGTGTCTTAAAATCTATTTCTTAAGCTGGATAAAAGTAAAAATGTATTCACTTTATAACAGCATTCATTAAATATATTTTCGGTGGGAAAAATGAACAACTGCATTTTGCTGGATATAAGATTTATGAGCTATATTTATAACTTCTATTCTGAAGAATTAAACATTGAAGAAAAATATGGCATCTTTTATATACAAAAAGGAGAGACTATTCATTTCAAGAGAAAACTGAGTGTCATGTGAGAATTTAGCCTTGTTTATACTGCCTAAAGTTCTGTTAAGACAACAGTAAAGTCTCAGTGTAATCAAAGAAGCAAAATGTGTGTATAGTTTATGTAAAAACCACACACACACACACACACACACACACACACACACACACACACTTTTTTTAAGATTTCTTTTTGCATACAGAACTGGGGTACAGGCCAGAGGTGCAGGAACAGTGAGAGGATTCACCAGAGACAGAGGGGGAGCAGAACAGGCCGTCTGACAAAGTACACTGCTGAGGGGGAACAGTGTCAGCAGAGGTCTGTCTGCTGCACCATGTGGGTCACCTCTGGGGATCGAACTGGTGCTTAAGTGGCTTTAGCGTCTTAGTGCTGTGCTTTAACCCGCTGCGCCACCAGGGACAGCCACATTTGGCTTTTTAAAGCCTTAAAACTTCCATTTGTAAAATTTTTATTTGTTTTAAAACTGCGATATAGGGCCTCCCTGGTGGTGCAGGGGTTAAAGTCCAGTGCTATAAAGTGTCTATGTCAGCCACTGTGGCCTGATCCCCAGCCCGGGAGCTAACCCAAGGTGCAACAGACCTCTCCTGTCTCAACTGGTGCTCCCCTCTGCAGTGTGTTTCAGTCAATATGCCTATTTTACTCCCAACTCTGTCTCTGGTGAATCCTCTCACCCCTTGCACTTCTGGCTTGCACACTAATTCTTATATGCGTAAGTAAATCTTTTTAAAAATCGGGGTGTAAATAACAAAACACTATTTCAGCATGCAAGATATATTTTTGAGTCACTACACATACTGTAAATTGATTACCATAAAAAGTTTAATTAGTATCTATCACCATACCTTTAAATCTTTTTATTATTAAAGCTTTCAAGATCTACTCTCCTAGTTGTTTTCAAATATACAGTTCAGTAATATTAATCACAGTCACATTGCTGTATGACCTGTCCCCATGAATTACTTATTTGTAACTGGAAATTTATACATTTAGACCCTCTTGACCCATTTTGCCCACCATCTTGCCTGAGGCATCCACAAGTTTATTCTCTATGCCCATGAGCTTGAATTCATTTATAAATATGTGGAATGTATCTTCATCTGACACATTTCACTAGCATAATGCTCTCAAAGTCCATTTGTACTGTTGCAAATGGAAAGAATTCATTCTCTTTCATGACTGAAAATTATTACATTGTTTATGTAACATATGCATACATACACAGATATAAGTTTTCTTTATCCATTCATCCATCAATGGACAATAAGGTTGTTTTATGTCCCAGCTATTTAAATAAGGCTATAATGAAAACAGGTGTGCAACATGTCTTTTTGAGTTAGTGTTTTTGTTTTCTTCCCATAAATACCTTGAAGTGGATGTGCAGGATCATACAGTAGTTCTATTTTATCATTTTTTCAAGAAATTTTGTACTTATTTTTAATAGTGGATGCATCACTTTACATTCCCACCAAGTGCACAATGGTCCCCTTTATTTCACATTCTCAACAAACCTTGCTATTTCTCAATTTTTTAATAATAGTGATTCTAAATAAATGTGAGGTGATATCTCATTATAGTAATGAATGATGTTAAGCACCTTTTCATGTGCCTTGTACGAGTTTTTTTTTGTATATTCTGGACACTAACCCCTTATCAGTTATGATTTACAAAATGAGAATTTTTTAAAATATAGGTTTAAGCATTTTTTCTCATAAAAAAATTATTTTCCAGTTATTTTTCTTTCATTACGAATTGCTCCCTTCCCCAAAAAAACTTTTATAATCCAATTTCCTATCTAAAAATTAAGTTTCCTTTGTGCTACTTGCATTTTCCTTACTATTATATTGGATTTACTTCTATGACCACATGAGGGCACCATCATTACCTATCTTCACATGTGCTCACCCAGAGGTTGTCCCAGTTACAATGGAAGTAAACTGCAGTACCTTGGTGGACTCTGGGAACCCGCCCCACGTCCATTCCATATGTGATTCAGATCTGAGCAGGCCTTCGGCAGGTTTTACCTCCAGCTCCGAGTCGCTCTTAGGACATGCTGCTTGGGTATAGGTACTGCAAACACAGGATAAAGGAAGTATGATGTTAAAGGCAGGAACTTCAGTCATGCTGCACTGACAGATTAAAAGAAATATAATTTTGGGCCCTCCCTGGTGGCGCAGCGGGTTAAAGCACAGCACTAAGAAGCTTAAGCCACTTCCGCATGAGTTCGATTCCCGCCTGCCCCGGAGGAGACCACATGGCACGGCAGACCTCTCCTGGCCCGCCCGCTGCTCCCCTCAGCAGTATACTTCATAGATCTGCCTGTTCTGCTCCCCACTCTGTCCCTGGTGAATCCTCTCACCCTCTGCATCTCTGGCCTGTACCCCAGTTCTGTATGAATAAATAAATCTTTAAAAAATATATATAATTTTGAGTAATAAACTTTATACTTTATCCTGCCTACATAAAAACTACTGAAGGGAACATCAATTATTCCTACCACCCCAATCAAATAAATACCAAGCTAGTATTTACTGAGGACTTGCTGGGTCCTTTGAAAATACTTTATATGCATAATTCCCTTTGATTTTCACAAGAAATCAAAGAGAAAGGTTATTTTATAGAAGTACATGGAAAGATGGGCTAAATTAGTATAATCAATAGATGAAAGAATCTGGATTTGAATACAGAACAAGTGCAATCATACTCCCCCCCCCATAATATTATCCAACTACAATGAATAGTTGACATTATAAGAGTTTAAGAAATTATAGAGGATCTAATTCTATTCTGATTATATAAGTCTATACTAGCTAATATTTTATTTTATTATTTTTTAAAGATTTACTTATTCCTACAGAGCTGGAATACAAGCAGCAGTGTAGGGGCAGTGAGAGGCTTCATCAGAGAGAGTGGGAAGCAGAACAGGCAGATTGACTAAGTACACTGTTGAGGGGAGCAGCGGCTGGTTAGGAGAGGTCTGCTGTGCCATGTGGATCATGATCTCCCCGGCATGGGATGGAATTTGCACTGAAGCAACTGCGGCCAGCTTGCAGTGTTGCATCCTACCTCGTTGTGCCCAGGGAGGGCCCAGCTAACATTTTAAAAATGTTATATTAACTTTAGGAACAAGAAATCACTAAGAAAAAAAGATCCATATATATTCGTATCTAAAGCACACACTCAGTTCCTCCACTTTATGAAATGAAATAGGAAATGTCCTTACTACTGAATACCAGAAAAACAATTTATATTTCTTTAAGAAATTTAAAAAAAAAAGTTAAAGCACTTACTTATCTAGAGGGGACCAGTCTCCATCAGATAAGGGATAGTGATCCCCAGAATGGAACAGCAAAGGTTCCTTGTATTCTTCTTCCTTTAAAGAGGCATTTGAAGATAATCTGTGAAAGGATAATGAAAAAAGACAGGCAAGACAATGACATTTATGTCAGCTGTAAAGCATAACCAAATCTACTATTACAACATATGGAGAATGCAGGTCAAGTAATTAATAACCAATCCTCTTAAAAGTAAAAGGGAATAAAAGGGCGATTCACTTATACCACCCACCATATACTAACTACAATTCCTAAATAGGACAGAAAGGAATGAATTAAAAAATTTGTTTATATTGCTTAGATTCAAAGGTTAAAAGACAAAAATTTTACATATATTTATTCCATTGTTTCAAATCTGAAAATATCGAGTTACAGATATTAGATAATTAAATATCAGAGTTTAATGATGTATCTAAAGTAAAAGTTATTAAGTGCTCAGATTCAAAATGAGGAAGCTCTTATATTTTCCATTACTCTCCTGTGTATTACAGAAAGTTTAAGTAAAAATTATAAATGAAGGTGAGCTCAAGGATACTCTGAAAATTCTTAAAACCCAGAATTTACTTTCCTCCTTGCCTGGCCAAATCATTACCTCAGAACATTCTTACTTAGAATCTACATGAAGTGGGGATGCAAGGAAGATACAAAAATAAGATAAATGCTTATTCATACACAGACTTAGAACTGTAGGATGCTGAAATAATATTAGTAAGATTTCAATAAATTTACCCTTTGGTTTTCTAAAGTCTGCAGAGTAAAGTAACTAACTTGCATATAACCTTGAAAACATCCCTCAGAATCTCTGCGGGTCCCAGTTCATCTGTAGTTGGAAAGTTAGTACTTGTCCTGTTTACTTCACTGACTTGATGTGAGATTTATGTGGTAGAACATGCTGAAGGTTCTAAGATGTATAAAGAAAACTACAAGCAAACAGTAAAACGGATACAAAACTATGCTATATAAAGTTTAAGAGCTTCTTATAGAAAAATCATGTCCAGTTCTACCAGGACAGACATTAGTGTAAACGGAGAATATCAGTATCACTTAATTTGCTGAATAGAAATAGAAACGAGTTTACTAATTTTCTTCCTATTTTAAATCAAGTTGTTCTGCTTCACCTTTAATTTTGGAAAGTTTTTCCATACTCCTAACTCTAAATTTTTTCCCAGAGGGACTAAACTCATGAATACAACTCATTCAAGAGGAGAAAACAGATGTATAGATTAAAAAATACTCCTTAATAAAAGAAAATCAAGCAGCCACACAAGTTGTGTTTCTTTTAAATATTTTCTTTTGTTAGCTTTCTATGGTTGAAAAAAAGTAAGCCAACAAGAGTTTAATAAAGCAAGTGGACTTAATAAAATGCAGAGAGCGCCCATGCAAACTCAGGCACCAGCTATTAAGAATTCACAACCCTAAGATGACACAATCTTCTCTGAGCAGATCCTGACAAAAATAGAACCCATTAGTCTAGATCCACTATAGTGATAGGAAAGGTTGCTGATGAGGGTACCTAAGACCTGACTCATTTAACTAAAATAGGGCTTTTAAAAATCTGCTAAGAAATTTTCAAAGTGGCATAGATGCCTGATAATAGGTGACCAGCTAGAGAGATGGTAACTTTGAAATGGTAACTTTAAATATGACAGAAGGTTATATGGGAGTATATGACTCAGAATATGAAGATCATGAACACAGACCTTCTCTATTTTGAAACAGAGCTTGTTAACACTGAATAGCAGGGAATGCAGAGTAGGATAAACAGTGTGATGCTGTGTCAAGGCTGGGGAGATTGAGTTGAAGCTCATACTTGTATACAGAGCACTTCAATCTTCACAGATGCATCTCAACATCATGTGCTAAAATTCAGTATCTTCCTGATTTCAAAGTCAAGTGAAATCTGCCTTAAATATTATGAAAATGCATTGATTTACATCCTTATCTATGAATATTACTGTATGTAGATTATATGCTGATTTTAAAAATTGGGGCGGGGGCAACAAAAGGAAATTAAATAGCCTGAAATAATTATGTGGGATAAATGTGAGGGGCTGAGTTTTAACTGATTTAATTACTAATACAAATGACAAAAATAAGGGTGCTAACTATCATGACAAAAGATCAGTGTGAAAAGTGTTTATTCTCAACCTTAGCACAATAAATTTCAGTACATTCATGATTCTAGTTTGCATTTATATACAAGTATATTTCCAATAAAAGGTAGCTTGGAGTAGTGCTCAACACTGTTTCACTGTCACTGTGTCAGAAAGAAGGGGATGTCGGCAAGCAGGCTGTATGTAAGAGCCACGTCACTGGAGAAGAACATGGAAGGCTAGAGATGAAAGAGGCAGCCTCAGAGAAGATAGACGCTGTCCTGTGAGGAATCTTAGGCTCCCACCCTGCACCTAGCTCCCTTATTAACTGTAAACAAGTCAGCTTTGATGGATTAAAAACAAGAGATTGCTTTCTGATGATGAGTCTCATCCTCCATTTCTGTCATTGCTGCATATTTTAGCTATCTTCATCAGTGTACTTATAATCAAGATTGTGCTAGAGCACTGTCCAATGTGAAAAGTCTCTTTCCTCCAAAAGGCTACTGCTTGGGTGAAATGTTCTCCCTAAGTACACACACATCCATTTTCTTGGAAGGACAAGCAAGGCTTCCATGCTTTGCAAGTCAAAAGTCCACCTTTAGGAGAGACTAAAAGCACAGTTTACACCAAATCCCATGTATCTGACCTTTCTAATTTTCACCAATAAGCTCTGCAACTGTAGCCTACTTTCATTTGCCTCATTCAAGAAGCATCAAACTCGAAGGGTTTTTTTTTGAGTTCAATTCCCGCCTGCCCCAGAGATGACCACATGGCATGGCAGACCTCTCCTGACCTGCCCGCTGCACCCCTCAGCAGTGTACTTCGTCGATCTGCCTGTGCTGCTCCCCATTCTGTCTCTGGTGAAGCCTCTCACCGCCCCTGAGCCTCTGGACTATACCCCAGTTCGGTATGCACAAATAAATAAATCTAAAAAAAAAAAAAAAAAAAAAAATTCTCCAATCCCACATAATTTTTAGATCTTACACATGCAAAAAAAAAAAAAACAGTTAACTTTTTCTTTCAGACTGATGAGCTCTTTAATTTACTATATATTGTTAAGACTTTTACCCTGAATATCTTGCTCTGCTTTATTTAAGAATGTAGGTGCTGAGCTGGAAGAGGCCTTTCTAGCCATGTAGCGCCATTCTTATTTCACAGATTAAGAAATGAAAGTCCAGGTGACTAAAGGACTATCAAAAAACAATCACAATGACCAAAGGTTGAGTTTCCAACTTTCAGCTGAGCACTTATTCCAGAATAGAGCCTGACCTCTCATAACTATTACACCTTGTCTTTAAGCTTTAATTTCTGTTAGCTGAGTCCTGTTTAAAGTAAATTTTATAAGAGTCCTCCCCCGCCTTTCAAGTGGTAGCATCTGTGACTCACTAGTAAGGTGAAGAAAAAGCAAGTCACTAGGTCGTAAAAATTAAGACAGACTCTAGTTTTTGTGTTTTCTGACCTGACTGTTTACCAGGTAAATACGGTTATAGCTCAGAAAGAGAGGCTAGCAACCATTTCAAACTGTTGACCAAATTATCCCAACAAATTTGGAAAAGTAAGGTCAGCACTAGTATTCCTGCAATGTACAATGTCAGTGGTAACATTCATTTACAGAATTCTTTTAGAATAACAATTCTATACATTTAGCAGGTGATTTTGTATATAATCTGGAAAAACAGACTTTCTAAGTTGAAGCTGCAGATTGTTCAATTACTCTAAATTTTGATTGATTCAAAGACATACATTAATGAAACTTATGAGCAAGTATGTAACTTCTGAGTCCTTTCTTGGATCTTAGAGTTGTCATTGGCAAATGTATTTCCAAAAATTAAGATACTTAGGGAAATATTCTAGTGCTAATCCAAATAAAAGGTGAGTTACATGTGTGCATATTTCAAGTTTTTCCTCAAAAGAACATGCTTCTTGCCCACCCACGCATTTTATTATAAGCTAAAGTCTTAAAGAAACTGTTAAACATTTTTCTTAATAGCACTGAAGTCAGGCAATAGAACATCTCAGAATGTCTCCTAGTACAGTGTGCAGGGAAGGGAAGGAAAAACAATCCTTATGAGACTGGAAGATGGAAAAAACGAGTCCTCTTAAGAAACTGTGGCACTTTATTAGTTTAGAATTCTTTGGAAACCAGTGATAAAAGAAATGTGTTTTGAACTAATCTTTTGATTAACAAAATTAAATTTGTCAGATTAATTCAGAAGTTTGAAATTGTAAAATTCTTAGACAATTAGTAAATAGTTTTGCCATAAAGGGGTTATTATACTACATTACTCACTAACAGAACATAATAAATAAAATACTAGTAACAATTTTTCCTAACCACTTAATACAAAAGCTTAGTAAATAAACACTTCCTAAGGCAAGATACAATTTACCCATGTTTCTATTTTGGCTCCTGAAACTATAGAGAAAGAAACAATTTTCCCTCTCCCCATGTTAGGGGAAATGATTTCCTGAAGGAACTCTGCAGAGTTTTATGGATTCTACCTCCTACTCCAGTAAACTACAACTCCCAGCAATACCACAGAGAAAACTAACTGCAAGGGCGGAGCTAAGCAAGCATTTTGGAAATATATAGGGGAGACAGGTGAGATGCACTTGTTCTCTGGACCTCCGGGTGCTCTCTAGACAGCCGGGCTGGTGGCTGGTCATTTGGCTCTTGAGCTATCAGTGTATTGGAGTTCCAAGTCAGTGGAGCTAGTAGGATGTTCTAGATAACTTGTATCTCTCTCTTTCTCATTCCCTGGGTTGTACCTTTCCCTTTTGTAAATAAACCCATTATTGACCCATTGTGTGTGTGCCTGCAGTACAACTGAATTTTAAACACGCAGGTGAGGACCCACAGGCAACCCAGTTCACATTGGGTTGCCCTTTAACACCCATGACAAAGAGAACTCTAACAAGCACTAATTTTCCCAGGAAGTAAGACATGAGCTCTCAGCAGCCAAGGTAAAAGTATCTAAGTAGACTAGCATCTATCTCACAATGTCATCCTCCTCTACCCCAATACCTGTAAAAGGGCCAGATTCAAGGTCACTTTTTGGACAGCAGCTTCTTATCCAATGACCACCACCCCACTAAAACACATACAGGACTTCCGGTGCTAGGGTAACCCTCAAATAGAACAGGCAGAAGATAATCTTCTAAAAATTGAATAGTGGATTGGGGAAAAAAAAAAAAAACAAAAAACAAAACAAAACATGCTCTACCCCTAAATGTAAACTTTAGCTACAGGTAGTACTGACCTGAAAATTGGCATCTATTTTGAAAGTTTTTCTAATGATTGGTAAGTAAGGAATGATCAATATTTCTTATTTATAAAGGAAAAACATGAAACCTCCTTTCCTCTTCAACTCTAAATTTCTCAGGGATGGGCAAGATATCAAAGCACAAGACCACTATGTAGGGAACTCCTGATACTGTATCTGCTTAGCCAGAGAGATAACTAATTCAGATCTTTATGACTTACAATCTGCTTGGTTTTGGGAAAACCTGTCAGATGAAAGTAGTCATGCTGCCAGTTTGATTCATATGGCATGTTAGTACCACACATTGATGGCAAATTATGGAAAGTGCCAGAAAGGGAAACATACACACACACACACTTCTTCTGCTTGATTTCACAATCAAGGGGGAAGAAAGTTCAAGCCTCAAACTGCAGAAGCATAAAAGAACAACAGCTTCCCACTGTGCCTGAGCTCGGCCCACTGCGCACAAAGAGCCAAACCAAGAGCCCTACCTTGCTGACTGTAGCCCCTTGTCGTCATCAGAGCTCAGGTCTACATTCACAGTGTCTTCTGCAGCAAGGGAAATGGCCTGGTCTTCCTTCTTACTATCTTGTTTGCATTTCTTTCTTCTTCGTTTTTTCTTTTTCACAGAACTTGGAGTGAAAACTGCCTCTGTTTCCAAAATGTGTGAGATGTCTGAACTCTGAGGTGGCCTTTCATTTCCACCTGCTTTCACCAAAGGGGTGTCAATATCTTTAAAGAACTGATCTTCTGTAGGAATTGGTGAGGTGGCAAGGTAAGCAGGCAGCTTTTCCTTAAAAAGAACAAGAGAGGAAAGTTGTACATGACAGTCTGGAGAGCGAATGTGAACAGTAACAAACTGTGTATTTATAATTTCATAGTAAAACGACACAGCAAAAGAAATATCTTGCTCCGAGATACTGAAATAAGGCACTGTCCATTCTACACTGAACAGGTTTTTTTTACCCAGCACCTGGCTAAGTGTTTGCTGATTTCAGTCAACTATAACAATTCAGTTGGAGGAACACATATGCCAAGTCAGCAAGCACCAAGAACCTAGAAAACCTATAATTAAGAAAGAATCAAAATCTGTAAAGAGAAGCTCAAAGCAACATTCTATGGAGGTATAACAAAGTAGCATTCTGTCAAGAACCTGGAGCAATTGAGAACAAGATAAAGAAGAGAGGAATCAGGAACATGCCATCTAACAAGGGTAAACAGGAGGGCTTAAGATAAGTGAGAGATGTCAGTGACATTCAGAGTGGTTAATGCGTGGGCTTGCTTAACCAAGGTTGGTGAAAGGCGACTCTAAGATAGACAATATCCTGAACCAGAGGAAATAAATGAATTTTTAAACTGGATAGTACTTAACATGTGCTCTTAGGAAGTCAACTCATAATTTCGTATCAAGTAATCAAGTCTGGTATTCAGGAAATTATTTGTTTCATTCTTATGTGTCATGGAGGAAAAGAAGAAGAGTAACAGATATATAGCTTAACCTCTTAAGTTAGAATACTCAAATTTTTTTTAGTCTCCAAAATGTGTGTGTGTCTGCAATTAAGCTTTTAAAGTTGGCTTTGGTAAACACTTTAACCTGAAGCAAAAGGTTTGTTCCCACACAAAAATAAAGCTTACCTGTACTTCTTAAAGCTGTTTGTTTTTGGTAGTGTTTCATATTCTATTACAGCATTGTTTGTTTTTAAGAGATAAGAATGGATATGAGTGTCTATTGTTAGAAAGAATGGTTAAATACAGACTATGAAATATTCCAGAGCTATTAAGGACAAAATTAGATCTAGAACTACTGATTTGAAAAGGACGTTGAGCATACATAAAAAAGTCTAAAAGACAAGAGCCAGATGAATTTTATTCATGTTTATTCCCATTTAAACTATGAACTTCTAGGAAAAGGGGTAGAAGGATGGGGAGATGTTACCCATACTATGTAGCAGAGTAGTATTTGTTGGATAAATGGATTTTTTTTTTTTTAAATTTTAAAGACCAACATACTTAAGAAACTTTGGTCATATGTGAGAAGAAAAAAAGGCTGGAAGTTGACATACTCCAACTTGACTTTGCTAAGCAGTTTTAAATGGAATCATCAGAAATTACCAAGAGAATCAGATAACACTATAATCAACCCAATCCTCTTACTTCCTGTATCTGTTAATTTTTTACAAAGCACAAGCATTACATATGAATTTAAGAAATAGCAACATTTTTCTTGTGGTAACTTATTTATTGCTTTATTTTGCCTTTTGCCTGTCTCTTATAAGACAAAATTTTGTTTAGACCATGTAAATGCAAACAAGTTCTTATTAAAAACAGTACAGCAGGAAAAATACTGATCTAATAAATTTCCCTTCAGTTTCAATGCTGCTTTAACACCCTGGTTTATCTAAGTTGTTGGCTTTCAAATCTGTATTATAAAATGATAATCAACATTTTGTGGTTTATTTTTCCCCCTTTGTGAAATTTTCAACATCAACTGGAAATCTGCCTTCAAAACAAAAATAGCCCTATGTCCTTAACAACTCGGTGATTTTTTCCCCCAGTGATTATTTTTACTGAGATTTTATTCTTTGTGATGAAAGATGTAAAGATGTCTTGAAATATTTTCTAAAAATCTGCATTGAATACCTCCAGAACAGTTGACCACCATTCAAGTCAGTGGATACAGACAGATGGGGGTGGGGAAACTATGAACTTTTGCTAAATGAAGCCAAACATACATCGATTATTTATAAAGTGTATAGGCCAATTAATTTACATCCCTCAAGACCATAAAACAATTCACTTGACTGTTCACGAGAAGTAATGTCTCCAACCAAAATGGCAAACATGTTTCCCGAGTTTAAAGGTCACATGTGTACACACACAGATAAAGCCTGAAGCGATATGCTGCAGGTAGAATTGAACATATTTAAGTCAAAGTGTAAACTGTTTAATAGTCACCATGTAAGAGCTCATTAAAGGTAGAGGGAAAAAATGTGCCTTCTTTTATAAAAAGAGTACACACAAAGGACTTCTATATGTCCTCTAGATCCGACCCTCGTGGGGGAGAAGTGTTCATTTCATTCTTCCAGTTCCTCTATGACAGTAAACTAAAACTAAATCTTGTCTAACAAGCAATAATCATCTGCAACTAATCATGAAAACTGCTGAACATGTCTGGTTTTGAACACGTACTGAAGGCCTCAACACAATGTGTAAAGTGGATGTGATCCATTAGAACTTACATATTCCTCTTCAGTCTCTTCCACAAAGAAAGCTTCTCCATTGTCACCCAATTTCATGTGAAGATCCACTGCATCACCATTGATTTCTATATCAATCTAAGAGGAGAAAAAAAGTGATTTAACACAAAGTCTTTTACTCAAGGTAAACTAACCCTGAATTCTAGATTCTTGAACCAAATTGAGGGTTCCAGTGACAGCCTCTAGCCCACACGCCACTCCTAAAAAGTCTAACCAATGGCAGAGAGCAAAGGGTAGGAAGGGCAACAGAGTTAAAAGAAAATGTTTCAATATCTTTTAAATTATCATTTATTTTTAATTATATAATTTAAAAAAAATACTTAGTTTCTCAAATGTCATAAAACAGGGAAAATCTCCACCAAACAATTGTGCATTTCCAGGCAGAGCTAACCCTATGTAGTTTAGGTACACACAACTTTTAGTTACCATGGGTATGTTAACTGAGTCAAATGCAGAAAGAACACACTTCACTGCCAGCTCTTCATCCACAAATCACTACATAAACACTAGATGGCCATCCTGATTAATAACCCATCATGTTACTTTTCCAAAGCCTGTTGGTGACATGATCTGAGCACATCTGTGATTTAGCTCACGCACAGACAGATAGCAAGCCACTGGTTGTGCTGCTTCTTTAGTCCCCCAGGGATAAAAAACCATGTAACATTTCATAAAAATGGATATTGAAAAAGGAAAGTGGTCAAAATTAAAGTGCAATAAGGAAACAAAAAGTGCTGGCAGTGAAATTGAAGTTGAATGTGTACAGAGTTATGGAAGAAACTGCTGACTGTGGGCAGTCAACTTTATAGAGAACTGCCATTTGGGACTTAAGACACTATGTAGTTGGTGCAGCCTGACGAAGGTAAGCTTCATACAAAGGATAACAAGACGTGGCTGTGACAAAATGGATGAAGAGGGCCCTCCCTGTGGAGCAAGGGGTTAAAGTGCAGCAGAGGCTATCTGCAGCTACTGCACCACCAGTTCCAGGAGTTTGATCCCCAGCCAGGGAGGTGACGCACATGGTACAGCAGACCTTGCCTGACCCACCCACGGGTCCCCATTCTTCTCTGGTGAGTTTTCTCCCCACCTCCTTGGCACCTTTGGCCTGTACCCCAAATTTTTGTATACATAAGCAAATAAATCTTTGGCGGGGGTTGTGGGGGGTGGGGAGAAGAGGAGGAGGATGAAGGCGGCTCAGAGGAAATGGCAGGAAAACCCCTTCATGCTAAAAGAACTCAAACACCGACACTGGCTTAAAGGTTGAAAAAGTCAAACGCTGATTCTATTTTCAGTATTTCCAAAGTTTCAAAGTGCAGTAAATTCTTCAATTTCATACACATTAATAACTTCATTTGTAAGTTTTAACAGAAATTTATAAAGGTCATGGAAAGACTCCTAATTCTTTTTATTGATGATTTAGCTTTCCTTACAATTTTAGTGTGCACATTTTTATGCTCTACTACCATGAGAAATTAGACTATACATAATATTAAATACCACTATGTAATTTTAAAATAATGTAACCATTTATCTATAGACTCATTACATTTTACATCTTACACTTGTAAATACCAAACTTCTGAAACTCTTATAAACTTTTATACACTATGTAGAGACTGTTTACCAAGATGAACACATATAAAGACATAGTATAGGTAAATACAACAGTCCATAACTTAAGTGTACTTAGCTCTACACAGGCCTTATGGTGGGAATAACTGAGGATCTGATTGCTGATCAATTATCCCCTATGATCAGAGATTGAGCACTAGTTCACATTACTGAATGTGGCTATATATTCCCAGGAGCTCACATAATGATGGGATAAGTATCTTGTTAAAAGACAACTGGTTGACGTATGCTGTCAATATACTTGTTATAAAAGTATTAAGTATGAAACAATGATCCTGAAAAGATGAAAAAGGGAATTTTAGAATTATATATCTAAAGACAAAAACAACAATAAACCTGAATGGTAGTACTTGTTTTCATCACAGAGACGTAGTTTAACAATTCTTAAAGTATTTTATGTATATACTAGATTGAAAAGATAAAATATTGTGGATAAGAAAAGGCTTATACCTCATTGTCATTTAGAGGAGATACAAATGAGATGAGGAGGAACCCTGGAATTGGAATTAGAAGAATTGGAAGAATCAGTGTGAACGCAAGATTCTTCCATTTGGATGTAGATGTGGATACACACATGTACATTTTCTAGCTCTGCCTACTGAGAGGGCTAGAGATAATGATACCTCAGTAGTAATGAGTGCATGCAGTGACATTTAATTCTAGATTTCCCAAGAAATACCCCAACAGAAGGAAATAGGGCTGCTCAAAGAATCCTACGACCAGTGCAGGTAAGGTAGATTCTTCTGGAATATCTTAACAGTGTCAAAAAGTAAGTAATCATTGCTTCTAATTAACTAAACTTGAAGGAGCTTGCAAGAGCCTTACCAGGGAGATCAATGAAATAATACTAGTAAGTATAAGTCAAAAGAGCTAATACCCATGAGTCCATGCAGACCTAAATAAATATGTAGACAAGAAAGGAGAGCTTTTTCATGCAAAAGATTTTCAATTAATAAATGGTGTATGTAGGATAGAAAAAGAAAGCCCTGATTTGGCAAATATCATAGTAATACCTGCTGCAGACAAAACTCATCAATGCATAGTAAATTCACAAACGGAAAATGAAAAAATGATCTTTAAATGGTCTCAGAGTTTCTTGTCACAGGTAAATTTAGGGAGAAATCTAGTTGACACCATTAACAAATTTAACACTATCATAAGATAAGGCAAAACCTTTAGATGGTATAGGGAGAAAGGCACCAAGATAAGAAAACATCAGGGACAATCTACACTGTCACTGTTCTGCTGCTTCAAAAATCAAGATCCTGAACTTGAAGAAAGCAGTAGTGGAAAAACTGGTGAAAATGTAAATAAGGCTGCCCTGTTAATAGTTATCATACCAAATATATACACAATGGAATACTATCCAGGAATCAAAAGATAAACTAATGCCATTCGCAGCAACATGGATAGAGCCTGAAGGGATTATGCTCAGTGAAATAAGTCAGAAGGAAAAAGAAAAATGCTGGATGGCTTACTTATATAGAAGGAATATAGGGGATCAAGGGGAAATAACTCAACAAAAATAGACAACTATAAATCAGAGACATTCTGCAGGGGATGGAGAGGGAAAGGGGTCAAATTGAGGATAGGAAGAGCACGGGTGGCTATGGTGATGGACATGGGTGAACTGGTGGTAGAAATTCTATGAGGACTGCACCTGAGAAAAAAAGCAAACATTGCAAGAAAAAGTTTTTTTTTTAATTGTATTATACCAAGGTAGATTTCTTGGTGCTGACACTGTAGTATGGTCACATAAGATGTTAACATTATGGGTAGAGTTTTGGTTAAAAATACATGGAAACTTTTAAAATTACATTTGCAATTTGTAAAGCTAATATTAAGATATTACAAAATGCCAACATCATAAACAAACACTGAGTAAGTCAAATTAGAAGGAACTACAACAGGACATAAACTACAAACTCCAGACAACTATATTATTTCCATATCTTGATTGTGGTGATGGTTTCAAGAGTGTGTACACACACAACAAACTGTTATCTTAAATATGTACAATTCATTACAAAATACAGCTGTTAATAACAAAATAAAGCTGTTAAAATGGGAATTTAACAGGCATCTAAGAATTAACTATAAAATATTTCTATGGCATAAAATCCCTATGTAATTTAAGAAATCTTAATGACTATTTCATACAACTTTTCTTTTTACTTTCTGAAAGGGCTGTATGAAACACCTGACAGCAACCCTAGCACATTTTCCTAACTTTCTTAATGTTTTATATTCTTATGAATATTACATCTAAAAAAAAGGCTGGTTATCACATGTGATGTAACTTTTTTAAAACAAAGCAACGCAACAAATTCCCTGGCTCAGAGAAAAATTGGTTCCAGTAAACCTCTAGAGTGGTCTATGAAGCAGCTGTAATAATAGCATTTTTTCTTCCACAATCATAGGAAGAATGTTTTTCTAACTTAAAAAGTAAAGTGAGAACTGAAAAAGGAAATATTTATATTGGGTTCTTCAGGATGACTTAAAATAATTTATCCCAAGTAGAAGTTAAATATATAAAATAATTAAAGCAACCATTTGTTGTAGAAATACTTTAATATATACAAGTGAAGTATTTAGTCTATCTTCAATTTTTAAAAAGACTTTAACACTACCTAAGATTGCCATCTTTGGTGGTTATCCATTTGTCCAATGCAGCTAGGAAAACGGAGTAACACTTCCTTAGGATGCAAGTTCAGAAATAACTATTCTCAAGGTGACTACTTAGTCTCTTAATTTGACTCAAAAATTAAATTTTTCCCAAAATAAAATCATTACCAGTAAATTTTGCTCATATTAAGGTATTTAAAAGAATATACCATGAGCATATTAGGCAACAAAGAAGAATATTTAAAAATATTTTTGATGGCTCCAAATGGGAATAAATGCTTCCTAAGGTGATCTCACTTTTTTTTTTTTTTTTTAAGATTTATTTATTTATTTGTACAGAACTTGGGTACAGGACAGAGATGCGGAGGGTGAGAGGAATCACCAGAGACAAAGTGGGGAGCGGAACAGGAAGATCTACGAAGTACACTGCTGAGGGGAGCAGCGGACGGGTCAGGAGAGGTCTTCCACGCCATGTGGTCACCTCCGGGGCAGGCGGGCATCGAACTCATGCGGATGTGGTTTGAGCTTCTTTGTGCTCTGCTTTAACCCGCTGCGCCACCAGGGAGGGCCTTGGTGATCTCACTTTTAAAGAATATTCTTTTTGATGTACCACTTCTACTAAAGGGGTACCAAAAGGACCGCTCATTTCCATGCAGCCATAACATCCTACCACTGTGGCTTAATCTAGCTCAATATTTATACTGAGTTTTGAGAAATTCTGGCTATAGCATACTTGTTTTGGTATGCCATTCTCTGGGTAAGACTATCTCTTGGTATCCCTTGGAGATTTATCCATCCTCTATTTCAGGTATGGCTTCAGGGTGTGAATGTGGGGACGTTGTTCAAGACAGGCCAACCAATACTACTCCAGCTATATATATAGTGACTTCACAGACTTGGGACCCAAGTCTGACAGGGAAGTTAAACTGTTATTTCCATAAGGAAGAATGATTTCCACTGAAGTTGTGTCAATGGGTAGTAAACCAGGAAACTTATACATGCATGTATCAGCCTGTGCTTTCTACTTTGAAAGACTAGAACTTATCCTATCTGCTGATCAAAAACCCTATCACAAGAAAAAAAAGCCTTATAAGCCATTTATGAATAGACAGATCCTTGCACAACTTATGGAAAATTTCAATACAATTTGCTCCCAGTTCTTCCAGAGCAGAAACAATCTGAAATTATTATAGGTTTGTGTTTCCAGGAAAAAAAGAAAAAAAATCCAGAGAAGCATGGCTACAGAACACTTCTGCAGAGAAAAACTTCCAAAGTCACAATTGTAGCTGTTTTTAGTTTCCAAAGAGTGACTAAACAGAGGCCAGAACACACAAATCCTGCCACTTTGAAACCTGGTTCTCCAATGGAAAATGATTTTGTACCACCTAGAAATGTGATGTTTTTTGAGGGAGAGGTAGAGTGAGGAAATATCTAGTTTTGTGATACCCATAACCACTTTTACTTTCACTCTCAAAAGTGAAAGTTTAACTGAAAGAGGTTTCTAGTTTAAATAATAAGTTCAACTATATAAAGTAGACATCAGAAAATAATGTCTTCAGCTTATTTCATAGATCCTCTTATTACATGCCCAACAATGGTGTCTTTCTCTGAAAGTGAGAAAATCCCACACTGCTAAGAAAGACACTGGAAGGTGGGGGAGAAAGGAAAAGTGAAAGTACAATGTACATGCAGTTTTATTACTAGCTCAGTTTTCTAACGTAATTGACACTGTATGTACAATCAACCTTTCAGTTGTTCTGAAACCTGCAGAAAGAGTATTTTAAAACAAAAACCCACAATATAAACACCTCCTTTGTTTTCTTCCCTAAAACAAGTAAAAAGCCAATCAGTCTATGGACTGTTTGCTAGCATTTCAGTAAGATGTGGGTACAAGTCCCAGTATCAATAATAAAACTTCCATTACAAGTAATATTTTACAATCTTGTCAATATGGACTTCACATTAATTTCTTTT